AAAAAAAAAAAGCAAAAGCATAACAGACCCTTCAGTCAGAGTAGTAGGGGTGAGCATCGATGCGTTTTGCCAAAAATTAAACTGCATCGTAAAAAACTGAAAACCGAAAATCTAAAATATGAACACTGAATCGCACCGCAAGAAAAGATAAAATTGAACTAAACCAAACCAAAATTTTCAGTTAACCGCAATTAAAAAAATATAAAAAACACAAATTGAAGTTCAAACGATACAAATTAAACCTTAAGTCAAACACAAATCAAAATCCACTAAATTGTCCTTTTTTAGGTTGGCACGTACCTTGAGCTCGAATACGAGCTCCTTGATTGGGTTACTCACTTATGGATAGACAAAAGCTCTCCTAGACTAGCCTACTCAAGTTGCCTGCTCAAGCTGTTAGCCAAGCTATTTTTAGTGCTACATCATAGATAATTATGATTCATCACTGATGAGCAGAAGACCATATTATTGGTTAGTTGTAAACATAAACAATTATTTCACAACCTAGATAAAATTGAATAACCCATCCTGAATGGTTGTAGTTTAATTTGAATCGGTTGGTCTCGACAGATGAATTACATTAGTACATTATGAGTGTATTGAGCGAATCCACGAAGGATAATTTTGTAATACATTGACCAAGTAAATATACTAGACCTCGATAATTACTGCGTATTCTTAACATGCAAGATAATAACGGGCACGTGAACTCAACAACTACTAATTTGATTCACTAAAAAGTGAGATACATTATGCAGGATTATTAGTCTAGGGAGTTGGGTAGTGATGATGTTTTTATTGTGTGTTGTTCAATTATATACTGTTACCATATGCGTTTGTTTGATGATGCCCCATAAATGGACTAAAAAAAGATTATTATGTCAATCCCGACTAGTGAATTGAATTCCAACATAATAATGAAGATTTCAATGGTACTAGTTTCGGATCAAGAAGTTTATTAGATATATCGACAGTAATTAAATTGATTGAAGGATATTATATCTTAATTATGGGGAGGTAAATCTATTAATTATTTTGGAGCCTCAAATGTAATTTGGGAGCTAAATGAGGAGTTCAATTATATTTCTTTGTGGACTTAAATATTATATAAGTATGAACGGAGTCGGTTAGGCCCACAGTTGAGTTCAAACTTGAGATACTCATATTTAGCACCTCTTTAGGGTCATTGTTGTAGTCTATATATACATCAATTCCATTGCATATTTTGGCTGCCCAACGTCTCTCTCATATGTGGCAGTGGCGTAATGACCGCATCTTTAACCATCTTACTGAGAGCTGTGCCGATCGGCGCCTCGACGTCTTACGCAGGACTGATTCGTATGCTCGCACAGTTGATGCACTGCCGCGGGTGGAGGCTGGAATTCATTCTACGCGCATGATTCACTAGTGTCCGCCCAACACAGGGTGGGTGAAAGTGAATTCTGATGGCGCTTTTCAAGGCAACACGAGAATGGGATGTGCGGGTGGCCTTATTAGAGATGAGTCGGGTCGCTGGATTGCCGGTTTCCTAATAATGAATATTGGCTCCTGTACTATTACGGGAGCGGAAATATGGGGTCTCTTTCAGGGCTTGCAGCTGGCGTGGGACCGGGGTTACCGTCAAGTTATTGATGAGATTGACAACATGTGTGTGAAGAAAATGGTCTTTGGTTACGGCGACCATCATGGAACTCACGGGTCGGGTTGTCCACGTTCATCGTGAAACTAATTCTGCGGCTGACTTTATGGCTACTTTGGCGTCATCTTCCCCGTTGGGACTTCGGCGTGTTCCTACTCCCCCCTCCGGCCCGGGGACCTGACTGGATCATGATTTTATCGGGGTTTCCTACCCCCGACGCGTCTTAGCTTAATCACCCTCTAGGCCTTTGGCCTCCTCTTCTGTACTAAAAAAAAAGATAAAAGAAATATATTTTTCCCATGACTTTATGTAATTTTGTGAGAGCTTTGAGAATCCAAAGGGAAGACTTCATTTTCATTGCTCACCAAGACGTACAAAGTCAGTGCAAAGAACAAAACATTAAGATTCCAAGGAAATTGCAGCAGATGTTGTACGATATATTATTCTCAGGGCAATCAGCCCAAGCTACCCGCGACACATCGCAATAAGCCACTCAACTCCCGGCCACGAATAGCCATGGCGGACGGGCAATTAGGGCTTGTTGGGCGAGTCGCGTCGTTGTGCGACTTAGTCGCAAGCAGGAGGGCGCACTCCGAGGCGCTGGTCTAGTGCACCTCGTCGCAGGCTACCCGCAGACAAGCTGACGTAAATGCGCAGGCTGCAGGGCACGGTGGGCGATTTTCGCAGGCGTCGCTCCACACGTGCGACAAACCCGCCCAACGGTAAATGACCCAGAGACGCCCACAGATGGACAACGCGTGCAATGCTTGCGCGACCTTATCGCTTGTCAAGGTCGCGCAAGCATTGCACGCGTTGCCTCGCGCTCGCACCTCGACGTCCTCAAAAACCATTGTCGCGTGGCACAGTAAGCGTACAACCCCGGCCGGCGATGACCACCCAAGCCGCAACGACCACAAGTGACCCGACCACACACCAGGCTACCCGTCCATGCACCATGTGACCCACCAGTGACCACCAGCGACCACGAGCAACCCGACCACAGTCCGACCGTGTAAGTCTTTTCAAAGTCAACTTAATCAAAACTGTAAGACTTTCATCCTATACTTTAGATTCTGTTGCACTTTAGGATTAATTCCTTAGGATTCAATTAGAGAACAATAACCAACGTTCTTCGTCGAACCTAACAAGGTGGTTGGTCTTTGCACTAAACTCGAACTCGACCCATGAGTTCGGGTTGTAAATCTATACCCAAACCTGACCGTAAACTCACCCGGCCAGTATGCCCAGCTCAGAAATACTAATAACTCAAACCTATGTGTTTTATTGACATCCCTAGTCTAGCTTGATTTCTAATATTGTATTGTAACTATAAAATAACCAACAAACACTCATTTATACTTAATTAAGTTACCCAATCCCTCCAAAAAATAAGGAAATAGAATAAAATCTTGAATTAAAACTTCAAAAATTCTAGAATTTTATTAACCTAGACCCCCACCCCCCACCATGTAATCCATAGATGGTGTGGTTGGAGAAGAGACGTTCCCCACATCAAATTAACCATTAGTAAAGAGTAGAAAAATATCCATCACTATCATAGCACAAACTTCCTTTCTTTCATTATTTAAAGAAAAAACTCTGCATATACGCACATGCAAAATTCAACCCCCCCCCCGACCCTACCCGCATTGTCTTGTCCCCATCCAAAGGGGGTCCCTTTTCACGATCCGATAACCCGCTAAAATCCCCTCTTCATCAATCATCCTCTACGCTAATTCTACGCTTATTTGGACTTCGATTCAACGCGCTATATATGATGACTTCAAACCCTTGGACGTGGACATTATTTGGACTGTGCTCCAAACATATATATATATACACATAGCCACCAACCATAAACTCTGATCAGCCGCCAAAAAACAACTCTCATTTCACTTGCATGCAAACTTCAGGGGACCACGCCCTACATAATAAAATTCCATCCCCTCTCTTCTCCCTCATTCTTCTTCACCTCAAACTTGTTGTTATCGAAAATGGTAAAGACCGCGCGCGCGTCGAACTCGGAAATACGTGTCGAGCCGCCCAAGTACAAGGGCGTGCGGTTGAGAAAATGGGGGAAGTACGTGTCCGAAATACGCCTCCCCAACTGCCGTGACCGAATATGGCTCGGCTCGTACGACACGGCCGAGAAGGCCGCCCGGGCCTTCGACGCCGCCCTCTTCTGCCTCCGTGGGCCGGGAGCCAAATTCAACTTCCCGGAGGACCCGCCGGCGATACAGGGCCGCCAGGGTCTGAGCCCGGCGGAGATACAGGCCGTGGCCCAGGACTACGGCAATAATAGCCATTCCGACTCGGGAAATAATGATCGGCCGCGTCTGGTGCGGGCCGAGCGGGAGGAAATAACGTCGCCCTCTTCGAAATCCGATGGGAGCTGGCCGGTGGACTCGATCGACTGGTCGTTCCTGAACGTGCTGGACTCGGACATGGGCCGTGTTTCGGATTTCGGGCTTTTTCACGAGCCCGGCGATATGTACGTGCCTCCACATTTTCCAAGTAATAATGATGGTGATGACGGGGACAATGGTTACGAGTATGGGGGCAGTGGTAATGTGCAGAATTTTCTCTGGAACTTCTGATGGAGGCAGAGTTATTATTAGTACTGTAATTCACCTAGTTAATTAAGCTTCACAGTTATATTCTAGATATATATATATATATATATTTTTTTTTTTTAATGGCCGGGGAAGTTTATTTACCTCGGAGTATTGAAATAATGTAACATAAATTTTCTTATATATAAATGTGGTAAGTGAGATGCATCATAATGTGAGAAAAAGCTACCATCCCGTGTTACATAATCATTCCTGAGAGTTTTTAGTCATTGATTATCTATAATAACCAACTTTTATGTATATCCAAAGGCGAAGAATTGTCACGGAATAATTCCGTTGACGAGATGGTAGCCTTCTCCCATAATGTGATTGTGAGCTATATAAGGTATATTTTTTAGAAAGTGTTGACTAGGATCAGCATTATATATAAAAATAGAAAATGGGAAAATGCTAAAATCTCGTAGTGGAATCGTTTCTCTGAATAAAACTCCAATAAGAAATTGTCAGGTCAGCATTTATTGAGTACGTCTAAGAGTCCATCTGAAACTGTGAATAAAAAAATAATTTTATGAAATGAACGAAATCGTGAATAAAACTCCAATAAGAAATTGTCAGGTCAGCATTTATTGAGTACGTCTAAGAGTCCATCTGAAACTGTGAATATATAATGATTTTATGAAATGAACGAAATCGTGACGGTTTATAGCCATCTCCATAAATATGATTTGTTTTCCTGTTAAATGAACTTAGAATGATTTGTCAATTATTATGTATAGTTCGGCAGAAGATCTGTTGGTTTGTTATCATAAATTATAACAATATATATATATATATACATATTTTAATATTTATTTTCATGCTTATAATTTACACGGCAGTTCGACAAATGACCAATGGACTTTGATTTTTTGTAATCTAAAAATTTACATGGTATTTCGACAAATAGTCCACTGGTTTATCATTTTAATTACTTATATACTTATGTAGTGATTTCTGTTGTAATACAGATTGCCAATGTAGAAGATCGATGTGTAAGATAGATAGACAGAGAGAGAAAGCAGTAGAAGAATAAGAGAGAAGAGATACGCCGTCAAAACCATCATCTTATTCATTCACTTGAGCCCTATATATAAGGGAATACAATGTACATGAGTAAATACCTAATGGGCTCCTGGCCCATACCTACAAATCCTTTATCTAGGTAATGTCCACAAATTAATATTTACAACACTCCCCCTTGGACATTACCGCATCATGTCTATGCCTCGTTAAAAACCTCGCTGCAAAACCCTGTAGGAAAAAGCAGTCGAGGAAAAGAGTACATAACATATGCAAATTTATGTGTTACACATGCTGCCTCGTTAAAAACCTCACTAAGTAAAACCCAATGGAAAAAAAACTTAGTCAAGGGAAAAAGAGTACAACACCGGCCAACAGGGCCTAATTTTCAGGATTATAATTAACCTTCCGGGCTCGATCTTCGAGATTTATTTATCGCTCCCCCTGAATGGAAAACCTTTTTAGTTACATTCATAATTGTATGTTGCTCCCCCTCAAGGCAAGAGTTTCTAACATAAAATGGTCATTTGTTGCTCTTCCGGAGTTGATATAGATTCGAAAATATCAGCAAATGTATTTTATAATTTATTTGTGTAACACAAACCAAGTTATCTTCAGGATAAATATGGGGAAATTTCAATAACTAATGGTAAAAATTAATACCTTTTGAGAGGTATATAACCAATTGAGGACCCATACTTCGGGGATCAATTGTACAATTGATGTCCTTATCCACCAATATCATATATCAAGTCCAAAGATAACTCAACATACATGAAGAATAATGGGATATTCTCAATATTTATCACGATATCTCTCTAAGGAGAGATTTAGTAAATCTTGCCAGCAAATTCATCACAAATTCAGTATCAGGCCTGATGCAGTTTGCGAGATAAAAGTTTAGCACAATTGCGCTTAATAAATAAACTTCATGTCATTCGTGGACTTCAAGTCCATTGGAACTTCAAGTCCAATAATATCATCATTTGTTTCTTTGGATCTTTATCTCTCTTTGTCAAATTCCAAATATTTGACACTCATTGGTGTTATAATTTTACATCTCTAAAAGAGATTCAAGTAGATTGGTTGGGTAAAAAATATTCCTTCTAGGAGATGCTCGATCTACAAGTCGAGATAATACTCTTTGGTATTTAACCCAAAGTTTCATTCTTACTCCGTCTATAAGCATGAGCTAACTTATTTAATCTTTTACATAGTGTTCACCACATAGTCTATTTGACTGAGATGATCATTTTGTCTATTATCATTATGTACACAAGATTCTACCTTGAATTTTTCTTACTTTACTTCTTCTGGAAGAATTTAGTTGGTTGTACCACATCTTACCAACAACTTCAAATAAATAAGCTATTTATTATTTAATTATCTTTCATCTCGGGTACTCGAGTCCATCCAGGACTTTCACATATGACTCAATAGTCATGGTAATAATGCTGCCATAAATAACTTGCGGAATCATTGATAATGAGAGAACTTATCTAAATGAATATATGGGTCTCTGCATAAACCCATGAGCATAATCTCGCTATATTTACATCATACCACCACATCACATATTTCATATAAATATTCATTATCCTTCTGGGATATGTTATCCTCTTGGGATATATCGTGTAGCGAGTGAAAGCTCTGCCTAATTTTTTCTTTCTATCTCAATCAATCTAAGTGCTTCTATCACTTTCATTATTTTGATCCGGATCATTATTTGAGATAGTAAAGAAATCACATAGGCAAGTATGTTGTCGACAACTATGATATTCAACTTATATTTTTCTCTCAACCATATATGCAACTTCTTATCTAGTAGCCATATTTATAATCATTTCCCATAATATCTAATTTTGGCCGTTCCGCATTTCCAGTACTATAATGGTTTGATGCACGTGCAAGATGTACTGGATCAACTCTTCAGGAGTTTCTTATAATGGAGTGTTAATTCTTGAATATACATTTTCCGCGGACTTTCATACATCATATTAATTATATCACCTTATGCTTCTAGCATCAAGGAGTCAATCATTCCCTAGGGAATTTGCTTACATTGTGGTACATCTATATATTTACAAATTGGTCACTCCATTTTCACTATATATTTCGCTTGGCAGAAATATAATATGAACTTCAAGTTCGATTTTTATTGTGTGGTCTCCAATAATGAAAATATTAATATTTCGCATATTTCACGGCATTAATAGACTTATGCATATATCTCCCCCTAATGCCGTGAAAACATCTTCATATATTATGCAAAACACGTACCAAGTAATAAATTGATCCCCTGTAATGGCCTCTAGGTATTAAAAATTCGACGGAGTATAAAATTCATAGCATACCTAGTTGTAATATAGGCCCAAAAAGGTACGTATTGGTGGTGATATAAAATATTGCATAATAAAATAACAATAAATTGCAGATTGGAAATGTTCAATTCTCCACGCATTTTAGGGGGAAATTATCATAAATAATTGCCCAATATGATCCAACTGCTCATGCTAATTATCAAATATATAAGTTGGGCATCAAAGTATAATAATCATTTCTAAGTGAACACTATATGCTTCAGGCACTACAACTGTACTTTGCTTGTGAGCATTTTATTGTAGCTGTCAACTATATTATGTGCTTCAGGCACCACATATAAATTGAATGTTGTAGCTATCAACAATATAAGTCAGTGGTATGCATCTTATCAAATATACAAGCAAACATAAATATTTTCAGAATACTTGTGTATAGATTCAATCTATGTAACATTCTGGTTACATAACTTCATTAAAAATATATTGAATATGCAGAGCTGATCTAAAATCAAAAATCACGAATTTATCCAAAAATCAACGAGATTATTTACTAAATCAATCTTGTCAAAGATCCTCGCTAGATAATTCTTATGCAATTATGGTACTGGTCAACAGGACCAATCCTTCAAGGATAACCAAATTTAGGTCGATATTTAAATTCACTAGTGATACTTTTAATTATATAATCCTTCAGGGAAACTCATATCTATAAGTATAAAATTCAAGAGGATATTTGCTCTGCAATTTATGACTATACAAATTGCATACCATTCATTTGGTTCATTAGTCAATTAGACTAAAGTTGAAGATATTTAAATTGATTTAGGCTCAATAACTTTGGATCACGTCAATACTCAATACATAAAACAACGGAACAAAATATGCAACTATTATTTTCAAACTAAATTCATGTCGTAAGTGCATATTTTGATAGCTTCACCATATATATTCCAAACAACACACACAATTCACATGTTAAAATTAATCCACATATGCTTCATGAGTAACCAGATGCATGGACAAATTAATTATATATGTGGACATTTTCAGGAGTATGACAATTGAAGTATGAGAGATTTCATTACATAAGATATATAATATTTTTTTTCTCATTCATCATCGAAAGTAATCCTTACCCATAGGATAATGTCTGCTACACATATCTTACGTGTGATACCACCTCCAAATCTTAACAAGTAATGGAAAGAATAATCAGATACATATCAAACAAGAGATGATCATATGAGGCAATTAAACCAATGAAACATATAGTCATATAGAAGAGAGATAATTTTCTATCACATATTTTATATGACAATTATTCTTTTGAATATGTGCTTCTGGCACTAATACAATCTCAATAAACTACTTTTATATCACTATTCATAATATATTGTATCAATGAATATTGATTTAGTTGGATTTCATTAGTCCCATGTATTACTTCAGGAATACAAAATGTTCATAACAAATCATAAAATATTCGATAACAGCTTAATACAAAATTATTTATCAAGACTTGTATTGGTATTGATCCTGCAGGGAGTATACCCCAAACAAAGTCTTCAGAATTATGTTTCGATAGTTCCAGAAAGGAAAGCTTGGTTTAGAACACAAAGAAAGGAATAGCAACAACTCACGGAT